CTATACCAGCGGAGCCCCTTAAAGCAAACCTGTCGCATATTAAAACATTTCAGCAAAGGACTTACCTGTAAAGAATAAACAAAATGCTTACCTCTCCTGCTTCACATAATGCTGAGTGAAAAAGAAATGTCCCCCCCAGTTCTGCTGGAATACTGTTGGAAGTGTTGATCTTCTAATGACTTTAGTGTATTCTTAACCCCCCCGGCCGTATTCCCAAGTGTAGCTCGGGGTAAAGTTTCAGTACCACAAGCGGTAACCCCAAGCTATACTCTCGGGCTTACCATGCGGAGCTTCTCTGCGATCCCTCGATCACTTACCTTGTCCTGCGCTCCCGCGATGTCCCTCCTGCAGTGTCCCCGGCAATGTCCTCCGGCGAATGCCGGCATCTGTCTTCTGGGTTCCATTCCCTGCGAGCGTCAGGACGTATGGGGACGGAACGGCGGGAAATTTGAAAATGACAAAAAGTGACATTCACTAAAATCACATAGTAAAACATTACTGTATCAAACCATTTCACATACATTTTGTCCCGAGTGCTTTGTCCTGCGCCCTGCCTGCATTTTTACTGTTCTTATTGCCTGGAAACTGACAAACGTCCATGGCGTCCAAAAAGCATTCCTTTACGTCAAAAGCGGTTTTAGACCGGCTAGAGAACAGTGATAGTAAATCAGAACCACTTGCAGAATTGAGTGATAATGATTTGTGGGGAAATTCGTCATCAGACACTAAAAACGATTTTGCAACTTTGCTCAGTGATGTGCGAACTTGGCGCTATATTTGAAATTTCAGTGTTTTTGGTTTGATTATATTATTGAATTAAATTTATTATTATTATATTATTATTTTTTATGATTATTTATTACAATTCATAATTTATGATTTCGTGTTTCAAATTTTAGAGTTATTCCTAAATATTATTCCTGATGAAGCTACGAGAGGCGTGGTGTAACGTGTAGATGTGACATAGGGACGCGGGGACGCACTTCCGGTCCGGCGCCATCTTGGCACACCAAAGAAACTCTCAGTACACCCATGTGAGGTGATTCTAAACGCATTGTATTTTCTACTGAAATGTGAGTGTACACTTGGCGGTTTTTCTTATTAAATGTGTCATACAGTTTTACACTATGGAGGATCCTTTTGTGTTCTTATTCTATGACCTCTATAACCTCATGAGTATATAAATATATATACACTGGTACCTGCTCGTGGAGGATAAGTGGAAGGTGGAGGAGTGAGCATTGGAGTCTGTGGAGTAACCTCTAGCCTGGAGAGAGCGTGTAGGATCCTGGGGTGATCCACAAGGCATTTTGGCCCCTGTGGGTCGCAGGGGGAAGGTGAACGGATATGCTAGATATATAGGATTCTCTCACCTATCACCCGCAGTGGCAAGAGGAGCATGCTTTTTAGTTTTTGTGGCTTTTTGTGTGTTAAACACTGAATTTTGTGGACATTAATATCACTACAGTTTTGTGTGTCATAAACACTGAATTTTGTGGATATTTTTTGCACTAATAGGTGTAGATATCACTTATATAGTGACTTATATCCCTTCACAGGGAATCACTGAGTGTTATAGTATAATCACTTAATATTTACGCTTGATTCATATTGCACCAGTTATCTATATATGTCATTTACCTGGTTCACAGTAATGTTTTGTACTCTGGATATGCCTTTTTATATTTCTATAGCGCTACACCATTAACATACTAAATTCCTAAATATTACAGGCCTACAATAAAAAAAATACATATTTCCGTGCAAAAAAATGTACCGCTTTGAGCACAGAAATATGGACATAATCAGACCGCTAGGGAGGTTAATGAAGATATCTGTTTTTTTTTTTTGTTTTTTTTTTTTTGCGGGGGGTGGCTGTCAGGCTGTACGGGGACCTGTGATCTCTAATAGCAGCCATGACTACTCTTCAGTCTTCAAAGATATGTCACAGAGGGTCATGTGGCAGCAGACTCAGATATTGTAAAAAGGTCTTTGGAAGGGTGAGAGGAACAAGGGGAGGTTCAGAACTTGTCCAAAGATAGGTTTTAATAGTGTCAAGTGATCTGTATTAATTGTTAGGACCCAATCAAAAATGGTGTCTCCCCATTTTCATTTTATTTTAGAACGGCCTGTGTATTTTGGTGTTAATGTTATGCAGACAACGTAACTGTATGCATTATTCACAGCTCCGTTAGATAGCTGCAACCTGCCTTTATTATGCTCTGCTACTTTGCACTGTTTTTATTTGTTTGTACATCAGCGTTCTTGAGACTTGCAGCTGCTCTTATTCAGCCGCAGCTAAGTATTTCTGCTGCCTGTATTATGGATGTTTGGGCACTCGGCATACAAACTGTACTAGCCTCATCATTTGTCACCACAAAGCCTTACCCAAATTCAACAATCAAACCTCAGACCATTAGCTCATAAATGGCTTGATTTCTTCTCAGGTGACCAGCGGGTACTAATCTAATCAAAGCCAGGATGGGGAACATCTTTTTCAAGAATGAAGACGCTGAGTAAGCTCAGAGCCTGGCAATTTTATACCCCATGCTTAGCCATAATGGAGCGTTCAAAGAGGAGGGGAGATGCTCTAATTAGATGCCAGGCCCTGTCATAAACATGCTTTTCTGCAATTTGCAAGGAGAGCAGCTCCTGTGTTGTCAGAACCCAACAACATGTCCCCAAGGAGAAGCTATTTAACTCAGATCAGAAACCACTCTGCTTTTCAAAGTTTTCCTGGTGGCTGTACATTTTTGACATTAAATGTGTTAATGCTGCAGGTTACGAACAAATGGAAAGAAGGGGGAGTAGGGGGGGGGAGAATAAGGGGCACTGTGGGTAAGGGCAGCCTTTTCCTGCTTATTTTCTGCTCCCTTGGGTCTTAGTTTGTTAAATTAAAAAGCAGAAAGGTGTAGTTGCAATGATGGATGAAGTCTATGTGGAGCTTGAGAATAGGATTTTATGGCTGTTTTGTGCTTATGCACATGAACGTCTTTTAAAGGTTTAATTCAGGCAAAATAGATACAGTTGTTGATAGATGTTAGAGACCTAAACATGATATATACACAATTGGTAAACTCTCTCTGCTGGATTTTTTCATGTATTTTCTATTATAGTATGAACATGCAAAATTCACAGGTGGGCAGGAACAGAATCAGAGCTGGTGCTGCTGGCCCCTCCCTCCTGCCAAGTGCCTCCACAGCAAACAGCATGCTATGGGGGCACCTGAGCAGGCTCACTCCCAAGTCACTGCTCTGTGTGTCCATTCAGGGCCCCCCCCCTGCTCTCTCCTCATTGCCTGACTAACTGATTGGCTTTTGCTGCTGCTTCAGCCAATGTGGAGAGAGAGACCTGGGACAGCCGAGGCTCTTGTGCACATCACTGGATCGAGCGTGGTGCTCAGGTAAGTATTGGGGGGGGGGGGGCTGAGTGGGCCCCTGCATACTGCTAGTGTTTTTACCTTCATGCATAGAATGCATAAAGTTAAAAAGAAACCTTGAGCCTTTACAGCCACTTTAAAGTGAATGCAATATACAGGGATATGGGCAGTGGTATATTTTGGTTTTGTGCTGCCCTGGGCAAGACTAAAATTGGGTACCTTCCATCTAAATTCGTCCCAACCCTTCCTGTTTAAGATCCACCCCTTCATCTTTAAACCCCACCCTTCCTCTTTAGGCTCCACCTCTTCCTATTAAAGCTCCACTTCTTATTTTATTCCATTATCGGTGTCAGTGGAAGGAATAATGCCCCATCATTGGTGTCAGTGGGAGGAATAGTGCCCTATCATTGGTGTCAGTGGGAGGAATAGTGCCCAATCATTGGTATCAGTGGAAGGAATAGTGCCCCATAATTGGTGTCAGTGGGAGAAATAGTGTCCCATCATTGGTGTCAGTGGGAGGAATAGAGCCCCATCACTGGTATCAGTGGGAGGAATAGTGTACCATCATTGGTGTCAGTGGGAGGAATAGTGCCCCATCATTGGTATCAGTGGGAGGAATAGTGCCCAATCATTGGTATCAGTGGAAGGAACAGTGCCCCATAATTGGTGTTAGTGGAAGGAATAGTGTCCCATCATTGGTGTCAGTGGGAGGAATTGTGCCCCATCATTGGCATCCCTGACACCAGTGATGGGGCACTATTTCTCCCACACTGACACTAATGATGCTTACAATGTTGACCTCTGCTCCAGCCCTGACTCCCTCCATCTCCCATCCACAGCCAGCATACCTGGCTGCAGCAGCACCATCTGCTCTGTCTAGATCTCGGCCGCACAGACACTTACCTTACCGATCAGCTGTCATCCTTCTCCGGCCGCTCTCCTTCTCTTCACCAACTCCGGCTGGTCCCTCACTTCAATCAGCTTCTTCAATCTTCACACTGCCATTCGACTCCTCCTCTCCAAGCTCTGCCTCCTCGGCGGTGATTGGCCGCCTGTGTGCTTTCCGTGAGCCACAGATCCGGTGGCCAATCACCGGCAAGGAGGGTGAGCTTGGAGAGGGAGGGACAGGCTGCCATAAGCTGCACAGTGATCCTGGGGTGTGGCCAGATGAGAGGGATGGCATGTCATCCCGCCCACATTACGATCCAAGATCCAGGTGATGAAGACACTGGACCGGACAACCTCTCTACCCCTCCTCCAGCAGCGCCTCATGGACCGGATCGAAGTGGGACATGGAGTCGCGGAGACAGGAAACACACAGCAGTCCCTGTCCCTTTTCCATGGAAGTGTCCCTTCCGTGGGAAAGGTGCCACCCCCCTGAAAAGTGCTGCCCTAGGCAAATGCCTTGTTTGCCTCACGGTAAATACGCCCCTGGCTATGGGAAATAATATTGACATAAACATACACATACACACACCCACACAGGTTGAATTAGATGGACTGGTGTCTTTGTTCAACCTTACCAACTATGTAACTATGTAAAAACTGTTTATTGCAGAAGAAACATGCTATGGGGTTGATTTACTAAAACTGAAGAGTGTGAAATCTGGTGCAGCTGTGCATGGTAGCCAATCAACTTCCAACTTCAGCTTGTTCAATTAAGCTATGACAAAAAAAAACTGGAAGCTGATTGGTTTCTATACAGTGTTGCAGTTTTAGTAAATCAACCCCTATGTCTCTTCTGCAATAACAAATGCTTATCTGCCTGCTCACATTCTTCTATTGAATGTTCACTGAGCTATGCATGCACCGCTCAGTCTTCATTCCTGGCACTCTTTGGCTGTGATGGAATGACTGATTCCTGTGCACACGCATTGAATGACATCATTCCCCTACCAGCTAATCAAGAGGCTGAAAACCCAGCACCTGGAAGTGGGCAGAGAGAAGATAACAGTGAACAGCAAGGAATGTAACCACCAGATTGCTGGAAGGGGGAGGTAAGTATTCCTGGGGGTTTAGTTCTCCTTTAAGGAGTTCAAAATTGCTAACAATATTTTGAAAAATATATAAATTCCACATACCTCGAATGCTCATACACTTGAACAATATTAAGGAAGTGATCATGTGGTCTCTGACAATATATTCTGGGGTACTGAAACTAAGGGTATGCCAGCCATTCAGGGTCTGAACAATTTGCTGATGTCACCCTAGAAGATTCCCCAAATTGACAGAGCCCATGTGACCAAACCCTGGGCAGTGGTCAAGTGGCCAGAGAGGGACAAGGGACCTTACATTATTGTAAAAAGTAAACTTTTCTTATTTGCCATATGTAACAACTGCAGTTTAAATAATTTTAACCATGCTTCCAATGTTAAGTTTTAGTTTACTTTATGTATACTTATTTTGTTGGAAGGGACAAGTTTAAATTTAAGAACAAAGTCGACAAAGAGAAACACATTTAAGCACCACAGCTCCCAATGACAACCCAGTTGTGTCTGAAGTTGATATGTTTTTAAAACTAAGCTATAAACATTATGAACATGTTGTGTAGCTAAAGTGTATCCAAATCCATTTTTATTGGGTTTCGCTACCTTTGTTAGGGGTTTCTTGCTCTAACTATGCTGGAAAGGTTCACTCCCTCTATTCGTTCTGGTGACCATTGTCCTCAAGACAGTGATGAAAAGTGAAGGAAAAGTAAAACATTCTCAGACACAAAGTGCAAATAAAACCTGACAGGTGTTCTAACATTTTAATAAGCACAATATTCCCCATGCACACATTCATGAAAATAGCTGTAAATGTAAGTGGATGCTGCAGCAACCACCGGCTGGAAACTGAAGACATTCCAAGGATCTCCAGAATGGGCCCAAAACTTTATTCAGCGATCCCAGAAGCAATGATAATAATAACAGCAATAAGCAATTATATTTTTCTACTCCATGCTAAAGGAAAAAAAAAGTTTGGCACTTTAAAATATATGTACAGTAGGCATGTGGATAGTAGCTCTATTGCTTTAAATTTCTAAGCATGATATTTCAACAGTGAGGTCTGTCAAGCTGCATTAGGTGTGGGAAGGTCTGCCTCGTTATGTGACCACTGTAATTGTGTGTCACAGTGGTCACATAATCCAGAGACAGAGACACTATTTCCCAATTATTAGTAGAGACTAAGAGCTGTCTTTCACAGCTCGGTCTCTGTGAAAGGAGAACACAATGAACGTGCCATCAGCACAGAAACCTCTGCTGCCAATAGAGGCATATGTGCGGCATGTGGGCATTAAAACCTACCGTCTTTGCCTCCACACATATGCAATATATGGGCAGCAAGAGGTTAAAATAAAAAATGGTAAAGAACAGAAAAAAACACTAAAAATACCCACCCTTGACAAAATGCAATCTACTGTATATGACTTTGTTTTACTCTATTGCTCTATAGTTGGAAGGAGCCACCAAGAATAACAGTAAAAGTCTTCTGTTGAATTACTGTACAGAAAATTAACTGTGCATTTAAAAGTGTTGATCCCATTATAGCTCATTCTTCTTTAAATACCTACTATTCTGTGAACAGCAACAATAGAATAGTAGAAAAAAACTGATTATAATGTATGTTTAGCAGTCCTTTAATATGCAAAATTAATCATAATTTGTCCTATTTTTTTAATAGGGTAATTTTACACCATCCGTATAATACACAGAAATGAAAGCTGTAATAAAACCACTTACTGTATCACTTAAATCATCTTAATAATTTAGAGGAACAGCCACTAAACCATTTGAGGAATAGGATAAAAAAAATGTTACAAATATACTTTATTATATTTTTATAGGGGGATTTGCCTTCCTATATTAAACATTTCTAAGGTCTTCCCAATCAACCCTTACATGAGAAGATGTCTAAAGAATTCCCCATTCAAATGTATACTGCTTCATCCTAAAAATTCACTTTGGTTTGGTGACATCTCTGAAAAATGAGGGGCAGTGTTTGAATATTATTTCAATGAGTAGGCTTTAATATAAACTTAAGGCGTTTACTGTGCCACCATGCCAGATTTAGCTGACCTTCCCTAATCATCTACTGGAGCAATTTCTTGGGTTCCACCTGGGATAAGAATAGACAGAGATGCTCATCATCAACACTAGTGATTTACAACCAGGGAAAACATGAGAGCAAGGGAAGTGTGTCCAGGGAGCAGAGTCTTCTGATTAACTGGGGCTCTCTTTGTGTTCTGCTGATAATATTTTGCCACACAAAATTTTGTCTCCCTCGTGAAATTTGCACTCATCTCCTCATTATTATCCATCTTTCCTGGTGGAATCTGGAAGGTTGAGATTGTGATGATGGAGCAGCTTTGTAAAATCACAACTCCACTTAGTGGGACTTGTGTCTAGCATTTCAGAATTCCACTTTTCATGAATAATGCATAATTCTATGCATGATGGTCTGCTCCATGAGCTCAGTATGGAATGTGGTCTCTGAACCAGGTTATTCAGTCAGTTTTCTGCTGCGCAGTTCATTAGCCTGACATCCACTTGTTTTGTGAGGAACTATTGTCTGTGCTTTGATATTTGTAGTGGAGTCCTGATAGAAAACAATGGTTTTTGACACAACTAAGCCATTAGGCCATTTCCATTCTTGGGATTTCGCCTTTGGTTCAGAATACATACATTCGCACTGTTACCTGCATGATTTCCCCATGGCTTCAGCTTCAATCAAATGTATACCACTTAGAGTAAGAGCAGTATTTGCCACACCAGTGCAGGCCTAACAATAGGGAGGCTATGCAAAGATTCTGTTAAAGCAGAACCCTAGAAAAACAGATTTAATGCCTATGTTGAAACTTTTTTTTGTAAATCTGTTTAGCCATTCTTTTACTTCACACAGCTCTGTCTGTTATATATATTCAGTTTGGGAATTTTCCAGTGTTACCAATCTGCTGATTGGACAATGAATCCACAGTGTGATAACACTGATTACTTGTCCAGAGTGCAGACTAAGGGTGAAGAGATGTAACACTGGAAGTTGTGAAACTAAATCAGGAAATTGTTGAATCACATTTCTAGCAGACTGGCTAAACAGACTTACAAGTCCTTTAGCTTGGTATAGTAGGCGTGCATTTTGGTTGTGTATTTAGCTATTTTCCTGGAGTTGCGCTTCAGATGACATCTGCCACGGGAAATAACCCACCACCGCTGCAAACGATATGCTCCACTTTAGCTAATTGCCCTGGTAATTAATAAAAACTCATCTAAATGCCTAAAATACTCACAAGAATATGTGGCTGTGATCCACAGAAGAAGATTTACTAAAATTGGAGAGTGCAAAATCTGATGCAGCTCTGCATAGAAACCAATCAGCTTTCAGGTTTCATTGCCAAAGCTTGATTGAACAAGCTGATGTTAGAAGGTGATTGGCTACCATGCACAGTTGCACCAGGTTCTGAGTGCTCCAGCTTTAGTAAATCTCTCACAAAGTGTCCTGAGTCATCTCTCTTTTGATCAGCAGAGTGAATGGATTGTTCTTCAGGTGGCCATGGCACTGTTTGCTGACATGTACATTTCCTGGTGGTGTGGTCACGATAAGGGGCAGTGACCAGTTGGCGTTGGGTTCCAGCAGCAGCCATGTACCACCAGTTTTCAACCCTGAAAGAGGCACCATGGAAGGTCGCATAATACCAGATTCAGGTACAGAAAATTAGAACTTTTTTTCTCTTAAAGGTGAATGGGTGGTAAAAAATTGGATGGGAGTAATTGTGAGGGGGGGGGGGGTCAGTTTTGTCCAGAGGCATATGATGAACTAACAATACTTTTATCACAGAAGTTGACATTGTCGGAATGGATGCAAAAAAGTAAGTGACAGTAACATGTTTTGCAGTCGTTTCATATCACTGATATGATTTTATGGTGTTATTATAGTGTTTGGTCATTATTTGCGCTGTATCCATGAATTGTAACTGCCTTATGCTTTTTCCTCCCTGGAGTCCCAAAGTGCTTATCAAATTGCTGGGTTGTGGCAAATAAGAGGGAAGACAGCCATCTGGGGCTCTTCCAATTAACCTACTAACATGACTTCTGAGTGTGGGAGAAAACTGTAGTACTAGGAGAAAACCCATGTAAGCAAAGTGAGAACATACAAACTCCAAGTCAGGATTTAAACTGAGGATCCCAGGTCATTGTCCTGCCCAGTGCCTTGTACTCTAAATGTACTCTAGTTCGCAGTTGGAGAAACATCCTATCCCAGTAACAGTGGTCACCAGAAGGGAAGTGAGGGGAAGTTTCTTCAGTGAAAGCACACAGCTATCCATAACTATAAAAAATATTTAGTTTAGAGTGTCATTACTCTAAATCAGCCTTTTACAGCCTTTTTAACATGGAGAAACCCTTAATGGTAATTACTATATCTACAGCTCAGGACACATTCCTATGATAGTCATTGGAAAGAATGCTCCTTACATTTGTGGTCATTGGTATAAATTCCCCCCTTACAAGTAGTTAATATAGCATTAAGCCCTTAGTGTTTTGTTTTGTTTTTTTGCATTTAAATGTTTATTGCTTTCAAGTGTAAAGCCATACAAAAATACATTTTAAGAGAGATTTGGGTATAAGGACGCCATGCAGAGCATGAGATACAAATATGGTATCAGGGAGGGGGGGGAGAAACAATTGAATAAGAAAACAAACAAGCAGTAAAAGAGAATCTGCTGCACCATTTGTTAACAGTAGAATTTAACGCAATATTCAGTGG